TTCATGTTGACTGATCAAACAAAAAATGAGGGAAAATATTTGCTAGTCATTCATTGATAAATTCATTTCTTCAGGTTTTTCATTTCATTTATTTAATGTAGACATACGTGTGTGTGTGTGTGTCTGTGTGCTTTTTAACAACTGATCGTGATACTAAACTGTCATCTGTCTTCTTTCCCTTTCATTGTTATATATAAATATATATTCTGAAGTCTTTGATTGAGGTATACACCAAAATAATTGCAATGGAATGAATATGTTTCACCGTCAATTAAAACTCGCTGAGAAGTCATAGAAAATTAGACCACATTAAAACAGATGGTTTGTCTTAGGCTAGGGAATATTAGTAATACTGCAAAACTGAATACGTCATTCTTCCATGAGGGATAAAATTGGAATTAATTTTATTACTCTGTCAAGTTCCATTGGTTGGAGGATCTCATCATGGGCTGATATCAGTTAGAGAACCATTGGAAAACCTGGGAGTACCGGACAGCTATTTCATCAGCCTAGTTTGGGACTCTTCATCAGCACGCACCCATCGGGGTTCGAACTCAGGACTTTCTGGTTACAAGGCTAGCGAACTCGTAGACCTTGAAGACACTGAGACCCACCCGATTCAATAGCCAATCCATGGATTCTAACTTCTGCCAATTCACTACATAGTGTGGCCACCTCACAGTGTCTTCTTCGTTGAGTTACTGCCTCATCTTCAACCTGCTGCACCCTACTAGTCACGGCTTCCCACTAGAACGCCAGGTCACTGCCTGAATAGGACCAGTCGCTAGTGAGCATCAGATTAATTTTCAAGCATTGGTTTTGTAGGGATTATGTCTGACTGGTAGGATGATTTCATCATGTGCTGACATTCGAACCCCAGTGGGTGCGTAATGTGAAGAGTCCCAAACTAGGACGAAACAGCTGTCCATTACTCCCCGGTTATCCAATGGTTCTGTAACTGATGTTATCAGTCCGTGATAAAATTTGAAAGAAATTCAGATTTAATAAAACTGCATAGCTCATAATACGCAGAAGCTCGGTCGTCGAGTAGTTTTTACTTTTACTTTGAAGCTGGAGTTGTTTGAAGAAAAAAAGCTAGGAAGCAACATATTCCCACAGTTCAATACAACATTAGAAACAGAATACTATGTTTATTTGAGCATTCTATTGCATGTCGTTTAATGTAAACCAAAATCACACGCTCAATGAATATAAAACTGTATCTATATAAATAACGGTTTGATCACTTGAAAATATACCTTAGGTTTCGTGTCTTGCCTTCTGCTGTTACACTATAATATTGTACATTGACTGAGACAGCAGTTAACTTGTTCATCTCGAAACTTGGATGTTTGATGTGTTATCAAGAATACCACATGTTGTGGTCTGAATAATTTTGGTTTTCAGAATGTGAAATTTCAGTTCCTCGACCTGGTTAAATTTTGAATTTTATTTAACCTCTGTTGAACAGTAACCACTTTTCTTCGCATTCAGTTTTATATTACTTAACACAGATAAGTAGTGTAAATGCTTATTTTGTTTACTAAATATTATTTCACTTGACCAGAATCATTTCGATAAAGCTGAATCTCGGTTAAATGAGTTAAGATTCTACTTCGTTTGTGATAACTGTCATCTTGTAGTTTAGATGCGCCTGCTTGCTGTAGAACTTTTTTCTTTCAGACAGCTTATTTATTAGATTGTTTTTGATACACCCCCGACCGATAGCTGCTACCTTGACGTGGTGGTCGGGCTTGCATATCGCAATGACCCACCGAGCTACACTGGCTGAAACTTATGTTCCTGTAGGTCCTACCATGCCAGAAAGGTTGTTTGGATAGCGGTTAGACTAAAAGCAGATACCCAATCCAATACCATGATTCAAACAAATTCAAAAAATATTATGCCGGATCGGTCGGGGCCTGGATTAACAATGACCGCGCTTCCTGCTGCCGTGTCACAGGGCAGAAGTGATAAATATGCTACTGAGAAACACTAAACAAGAAAGAACAACCAAAAACAGGCCGCGTGTGATCGGCCTCAAGCAGTTGTCCCTTGGACTCTGCGGTCACGCAACACTAACCTTTTCTCTCTCTCCCCTTCTCAGGCGTGAGGCTAGCAACCCCACCATGTAAGCAAAGTTGCTACAGAAACTTCAGCACGACGAATCTCCTTGCGTCAGAAGAAAAAGTCTGTGTGGAGACATGGAGTGTCCGCACCATGTACGAAATTGGCAAAGCTGCCCAGATCACAAACGAAATGAAAAGATACGGAATTCAAGTACTGGGGATACGTGAAAACAGATGGAACGGGAATGGACTCACCAAATTGTCAACGGGTGAGTCAGTGATCTACTCCGGTCACCCAGAGGATAACCACATGCACAACGAGGGCGTGGCTATCATGATATCACCAACGGCAATGAAGCCCTGATGCAATGGGAGGCGATCTCGCCCAGGATAATGACCGCCGTCACATTGTTTTCAAATGTCTATGCTAAATAATTTAAACATGTACGGGTAATAATTGATAACAGGTTTGGTAACGAGATGATATCAGTTAGAGAAAAATACATTGTAGCACTCCTAAGTTAAGCCGAACTCTACGCTTATAAAACTAATTCATGTACGCATGTTATGCGATTATAGAAACTAATTCAACTTATGCTTTTTGAACATTTGCCATCGTATTATTGAATATTGAAAATAACGCGGTTATGCACTTTTTCGTTCACCTCGCGCTTTTTGAAATTCAATTTCGTTAACAATACATTTTTTCAAGTTTTCACTCGTGCTTCTTTATACAACATTGTTCATCGTTGATCGTGTACAGGGTTAGCCTATATTAGAACGTGAAAAAGTGGATGTACTGTAGCGTAGTAATCAGAATCATCTTCAGTGAGCCACAACAGTACTGAACAGCTATTTCGCCCTGGTTCGGGACTCTTCACCGTACGCATCCACCGCGGCTAGGTCACAAGGTAAGGTCGTAGACCATTCAGCCACCGGGACCCGATCTAATTGCTCATGAATTCCAACTTCTGCCAGTTCATGATAAATACAGTGCAAACATGTAACCAATCAAATCCCTGCAAACCGACACCTATAAGTTTGATAAGAAATGTGTGAAAATACGTATTTGCTCAAATTACATTCTTTAATAATCATAATGGGTACAATTATGTCATATAAATATCAATCTACTTCACACAATAAACTGTGTACAATGTGGGCTGTCGAAAGTTCTTATAAGAAGTCAAAACTTACGAGTCAGAGGATTTGATTGTAAGGACAATAACTTGTTGAAAGTAGATTGCACTTTGTTAGCTGAATATTCAAACGTTCTATTCTACAGAGTGAAATGAGTATTTCGAAATCATTCATGCTAACTGATGGTATTTTCTAGTCAAACTAAAATGATTTGAACACATTAAACGTCCATTTCAATCTTTTAACTTCTGCCCTATAGGGTTATTTAGATTGAATTAGGTCAAAGACATGAGTCATTTTAAATTATCTGAGTTCTAACTAGCTACTCGGAGCTAGTTGGTAATATATATAGAAATAAACTTTTCAGTTCATGGTGAAACGTCACCACGGTTTTATTTGTGAAACTGAAATATTCAGATGATATTATGTGATATCAAACTCTAATTCATATAGTATTGTAACAACAAAAGATAAGGACCAGGCAACAGACCGTTTATTTAGGAAATCAACAGATATTTATAGATTTTCATGTACATCTTTATAGATTATTGTAAGCAAACAAACACAGTCTTCTGATTGGTGGTTTCTCTCTCTCTGAACGTTAATCTTCCATCTCTTTGTGGCCGTTTATTGAAGTTCAGATTATCTATCTGCAAATTGTATCCACCTACGCAAAGTCTACTGTGATTGAAGGTTGAATCAGTCTTTGTTCTTATTTTTCTCACGATCAATATTGGAGACGTAAACATTGACGTAAATTACTGTCTACCAATTTTTGGCGAGCAGCCAGTTCTCACCACAGTATGATACATCCACGTTTACGAGTTCTACAATGCGCTAAGCTCTGTGCACAGCCGACTACGAATAGTGTTGTATAAAAAAGCATAAACGAAGATTTGGGAAATGTATTGTTAGCAAAATCAAGATTTGAAGTACGCGCAAAGTGCATATAAAATAAAAGAGAATCAATGTTCAATCACACAATGATAAATATTCAGTAAGCATACTGCACTTTATATCCATTTAAAAGCAGCTACATTTATTTTATACTGGAAGAAGTTCAAATAACTGAACTGATTTGGAGGAGCATTTCAAGTGAATTAGGTTGAAATATCAGTTGATACTGTAGAGGCTATAAGCGTATGCACTTAGCAGTTTTAATGTAAAATAATTATCCTTTTCGTCATCATCTATTTCTATTTTCAACAGAGCTTGGTTGCTATTCATCTAGTCTGAGTTGATGATTGTGTTTTACCCAAGATATACTACTGAAGCGCTATTGAGTAGTTAAAGTCAGTTAGCCGGAACATGTTGTTACTTGGCTGGTAGTGGCTAGTAATGAAGTTCAGGACACTTGTTTTCGTCAGATTCGGGATTTCTCAGCCAAACGAAACTGGCACCATTGATTTCGCTGTTAGTCAATGCCAGATAAGCAACTTGGAGTCACAGTTAGTGAACATATTAGGGTATCACTTCTAGGAGTTCATGTGAAATGAAGTGAGCACAATCAGTTTCGACCGGTAAATCCTAACCAGAAACATGACTCTGAACAAATGGCACCGATTAGCCGCAAAGTTGAAGTTCCCTCTGGTACATCATAGTGTATATTTAGCCTATTATACTGAAGACGTGCAATACCATAGTCCCAGTTAAGTGAGAAACTCGCTTGATAACTTTAATGTAGTTATCAAAACTTACTGACCTCTGGTATACAAATACACACCTAGTTCAGCAATCAGTGTCACACTAAGTTACCAACCGTTTATAACCATCAGGAGGAGAACAGTAGGATCACACATTCACTAGTGGTAGTGATTGCTGAAATTTCGTCACACAACCTTCTACAGATGGATATCCACCACCTTCTACAATCAACAATGGTATTTGTGAACTTCCAAAATTTTCTGTAGTATTCATAATATTCTAAGGAATAATTAGTAAAAAGAAACTCTGGCTGGGAACAAACCAAACAAGAGTCCATTACTCAACAGATATGTAGGAAGAAGTGGAGGTAGATCGGGAACACGTTGAGGAGACTGTCGAATGACATCGCTCGAGTGGAACCTCAATGGGAAAGGACGAGTGGGTCGTCGGTGTGAGGGTGACATGGAGAAGATCGTGTGGCGAGGAGGCGATAAGAGATTATGGGCAATCGTGGACCCAGCTGAAGAGGACAGCAGAGAATAGAACAAAGTGGAGATGTGTTGTGTTCTTGAAGCTGTATTTTCCACTCAGAACCCTAGGGAATAATAATAATAATAATAGAAATAATATTGTATGCACTTATGAAACAAATGTTTTGTTTTTCCGATAGACTTCTACCCGATATTATTTATTTGTTTCTTCTGACAGTAACTTCCATAATTCACATATCTTCCTATTTAGTATCCATCACACACGTACTCTGACTGTCTGTTTTAATCACAGAACTTTGCACAGATGTGCAGCAGTTCAAGTCACCACACTCCATATAGGACAAAAAGCAAGAGAAGAAATGCATAATAGAGACAGTAGACAGGGATATGAGACAAAAGGAATAGTAATAACAAAGAACAATATAGTTTCATTGGGGATTATAAGTCACAAGGAGTGGATGCATCTGCGCCAACCAGTGAGAACGATTTTGAACCATGTCACCGATTGTTTCCAGCCATTGGTTTTTACCGTCCCGAAGACCCCATCCACCTTCCTACGTGGCTTAAACTAACTATTGTGCATTTCATTGATTGGTGCCATGTTTTGGTTTGACCGCCGCTAGCTCTTTCCCAACCTGACCCTATGTCAGCTAACATTACCCGTCGAGAAAGGCGATGACTAGGCAAGCGCAGCAACACATGTCCTAATCCTCTCAATCGGTGCAGCTGCTTCACAGCCTCGTTTATTGATTTCCCCTCCTTACCTAGCACTCGACCGATGCCTAACCTCAATATTGCTCACTGTATTACACCACTTCACACGGGAGATAGAACGCAAGCGCCTATGATCAAAGATAGCTAGCCTTTTCCCGTCTTCCTTTTCCAGTGGCCAGGTCTCACAGCCACAAAGAAGGACGGAGCGGATTGATGAGCAGTACACTGATGTCTTCGCAATGTCAGTGAAATACACCAGTCAGTGTTTTAAAGCATTAAACTCTATTGAACTACAAGTCTTATGCACTGAACCTCACATCACTATCACCCTCATCTGTCTTTGATTGACTTTTTCCTTTGCTGAATGTACTAGACCAGTGCCAGTGTTTCAGTTCAACTGTCATAGTTGCACATTAATATATTAATACATTTAGATGACTACTTTAATATCAAAGGAAATGTCCGTTCTTTATTTCACTGCTAGCCAGTGGCAAACACGAAATACTCTTAAATTTTTATTAACGAAATGTCAATTCTTAGGTATATTAATCATAATACGTATTATAGGTATAATAATAAACTAGACTATTTAAATGGATGCTACATTTCCCAGCTCTGATTCATATGGAAAAAGTTAACGGAATGTCAGTGATGACTTAGTCAGTTGGCACTCTGTAATACATGATTAGTTTACTTATAGACTTGGATATCGTCAGCTTGGAGAGGCCAGGATTCTCACGCGTAGAGGACGATTGAATGCATTAAATGATTCTAAATCTGACATTTGTAGTTACGACGACGCCTGAAATGCTTCAGATTAAAGTATATCACTATACAATGGGAAATCCGATTCGCCATACTTCCACGAAAACTCACACAGAAACTAAGGTACACGATCTTCCCGACCACTTTTAATACGCTGTAGTCTTATCGGCAAAGATAACAAGGTGATTTCAACTTGCTACTTATTACTGACTAACCTTAATAACTGATTTCCGGAAATTTTAGTGACAAATCATAACTGATGATGAAGTTGACCAAGTGTGGTGCTAGCCGGCCACAAAGCCAGCGTGGAATAATCCTTCTCTATCGTCTACCGGGTGCCTAAGAAGTTGCCAAAATCATCAAAGCACCGCATGCTCTAAACAGCAGAGGCTATTGCAATTCGCCTCAAACGATCAGTGCTCTGTATTCAAAAGAAGCAAGTCCAGCCCCTACTACTGCCCTGGACTTCAATAGAGACTAGAAATTCATGAATTTGTAATATTATCTTTCCTAATTTTTCTGACATTCAGCTTATTTTATGTTGATGCTGTAATCTATCAATATTATTGATTCGATGTTATTTAAACAACATGAATGTTGTTCATAACACTAATTCATTCATTCACTATAATGCATATATAACTGTGTAGAGGCTGATGATGAAGTTATCGAAAAGAGTACTCTTTGTTCAGTATCCATTCTTTTCGAAAAATTTTAATGGGCATTTTTAATCAGTTGAAAATAATTACTCACTAACAATATTGGCTACCAGTGGTGTGGTATGAAAAATTGGGAGGGATTCGTAATAGCTGGCTAAATATTAACGTAGCTGGCTTGGAATTTTATTCCTTAAGAGATAGTGTCTAATTTCAACAACCCTTAATTAAAACCTCACAACAGAATAGTTATATCATACTCCCCTCCCTTCCTATTGTGACTATACTAGGTGTCATGAATACAACAGGAAGTGGTTAAGCAGTTTATAACAAATTTTAGTTTACAGCTGGTTTAGTAATTTAAAAAAGATAATATAGACACCTTTATACTGAAATTAAGATGCATGGTGAAACGTAAGTATGTGAACAAAGATGTCATACAGTTACACTTTTGAATTCTCCTTGCTTAGTAATTCTGTTTATTAACAACTTCTTGAATACTGGGAGCATTCAAAATGACCAATCCTAATAACAATAATAGCTGCTTTATTTTGTACAGCGTTTATATATATTGTACAAAATCTTCAGCCTAGTGTTTGCTGTATGATATTTTCTCTTCATCCAGGATCGTCACACAAAAAAATATCACGTGACGGTAGATCAAGTGAAACACTTCTGCCTGACATGAACAGCATAACAAGAAACTACGATGCCCTCTCCTTTTGTCTTCTTCGGTAAATGTATGTAATTTGATTGAACTGGTTTAGAATTAGAAAAGTTTCAGGAATTCATTCATTCCGTGAACCAAGGACACAAACCAAGAACAGCTGTCTCTTGCACTGCAATACGCACCAACACATGATTAGGGTTTTTCCCACGATAACTAGACACTTGCAAATCAGCAGGTGATAAGCATTCTAAATACTACAGAGTGGAGTTTCCTGGAGTTCTAGTGAGAAGTCATGACCAGTGAGGTCCATCCAGATGTCACGTGTGAGGATGGATGTCCCACCTACGACAATGGTTGGGGTCGGGCTAAATCACGAATTGGTAGAAGTTAGAATTCATGGGCTGGTCATTGACTGAATTGGGTCCCAGTGGCTGAATGGTATACGAGTTTGCCTTGTAACCGGAAGGTCCTGGGTTCGAACCCTTGTGGTGGGTGCGTACTGGCGATGATTCCCAAACTAGTGGGATGAAACAGCTGTCTGGCAGTACTCCATGCTGGTTTTCAATGGTTCTCTAGCTGATATTAATCCGTGATCAACTCGTAAAAACAAAACTAATCCATACAAACCAAGCTATAGAGAACTAATCTTCAATTATTGTTATTATTTTGTTTTACTGAGTATCATTAGGCTTGATTCTGTTTTGATTGTTATTTAGTATTAGTGGATGTTCACAAAATTTAACAGGTCTCATCATCTCTTACTTTGTTATTTCTTTCCAACATCTCACTAGTGAGTGTTTGTAACAAAAACACCTGACTTACATTAGCTAAATTATTAGTTTGCCAACAACGACAAGAAAAGCAACAACAACAACAACATTAACTTTATCCCATGGTATACAATGAAGGTGGTAAACAATTCACTGAATCTCAGGAGAGAAAGAAATTCTGCTTCTTTTGCTTCTTCTTCATTAGGTATATAGCTCAACTTGTTTTCAAAATGTCAATCTATTGAGGTACGTGTGAATTAGCAAGCATAAGAAACTATAGAGATAATAATATATATATGTATGTATATAGTCCTGATTTTTATCATTATTATTTGAATAAAAAAACAACAACACAAATCTCAATCTGTTGAAAGTGATGTGCCATAAAAAATCACATGATATGCGGTTAGAGTCGTATGATTTATGAAATATAGAAATAATTTTTTTGTTTTAGAAAGAAGCATGGATGAAAAAAAAACAAGCAAAACAAAATGAAGTGTAGAAAAAATCAAGTTAAAAAAAGACTTAGTGTTAAACAATCAAGACATTTCTCTTTTTAGTTATATTCTAGTACTTAACCATTGAGCATATTCTTCAATTACGTTATAACGTTCACAACGTGTAATAATATTTCTGGGTAGTACACCGTAATTATCATTTGCTGGAACACCGATATAAGCACCAGCCAGTGCAGTAGCCATACAACCGATTGAATCTGTGTCACCACCAAGTCCAATGGCATAGATTACACAACGAAGAAGAACTGACTGGAAAAGAAATATGTTAGAGAAAGACATTATGCTACAAGATATATATTATGGTGGGAGCTGGCTGCGAATAAGTCCGTCAAAATTATAGGCAACAATTTACGTCAATGTTTACGTCCCAAATCAGGGTTATGGAAAAAACAAACAATGACCAAGCTTAACCTTGGGAAAATCATCAACCAATCACAGAGGAATTAACGTGTGGAAATATGATTCATTTTCTGATAAACGTTCACAAAAACAATGACAGAATAACCTTCAGTAGGAAAACAACCAATCAGAGGATGTTTCTTCCCCGCTGATAATGACGTACATAAAATCTATAAATATCTCTTGATTTTCTCAATAAACAATCTGTTGCGTAGGCTGTGTCTTCTGTCGTTACACATATATGTCTTATGATGAAAAATATTAACAAATGAAAAAACAAATAAATAAAAGTATTTTGTAGTCATTTGCTTGACTGACGACGGAATTTTGTATGAAGTTTTGTGAGGCTTTTATTTTTGATTATTGCCGTTTGATTTTGTCAGCCTTAGTGATATCTTTACCACTAAATTCTCAATGCAGTCGTCGGAAAGAAAGCATTAATCACCTGGGGTTCTAGTAAGAAGTTGTGACCAGTAGGGTGCAGCAGGTCGGGTGTGAGAACAAATACTCACCGAAGACATTGGCCTAGGGGTCGCGCTATGTCGTGAATTGGCAGAAGTTAGAATTCATGGGCCATTGGATCGGGTCCCAGTGGCTTAATGGTATACGAGCTCGCCTTGTAACTAGAAGGTCCTGGGTTCGAATCCCGGTGGGGGCCTACTGATGAAGAGTCCCAAACTAGGACGAAACGGCTGTCCAGTACTCCCAGGTTTTCCAATAGCTTTCTAACTAACGTCAGCCCATGATGAAATCCTGTAACTAATCAAATCCCTACAAACCAACACTTGAATATCAATCAATTCTGGTGACATGGCTCCCAAACCGTTCGTTGAGGTCAAAGTGTGTTCACACTTTAAATCCTTGGCAGTTTTATGTATTTTGATCAATATTCACTAAAAGATTATCTTTCCTACACTCATATTTATCCACTGTAGTATATATATTACAGTGTTTCGTTTATCAAAGTGCAGCAGGCTTAACTAACGTGCTTCTGTGGAAACTTTGAACTTGATTTATTGCACCATCTACTTGATCATATTTGTGTTCTTCGTATTAAAGACATATGTCTCGATGTCAATCAAGTAAATTTCAGTTGCAAGGTAGACCATTCATCCCTCTGAAGTCAGTTTTTGGAAATCTGCTGCTGTTGCACTCAGCATTACAGAACAAGACTGGAATTTTTAACACCATTGTTCAGTCAGTTCTTCGATAAGGGCCACATGCTTGGTGAGTCACGAAAAGAATTACCAACAATCAGCTGCAGCTGCCTTCGCTGACTCCATACTGAAGATCAGATGACCAGCTAGAGAGGATTAGCAGCAAAACAACTCTGGGAACGAATCACCTAAGAACACATTGGTCAATGAATGTTCCGAAGGAAATGCATGTGGATTGGACATACGCTGAGGAGACTGTTGAGTGACATCTGGTGTCCATGCCATGGCTCGAGTGGAACCCAAGTCAGAAATGGCAAGTTGGTCGTCTAAAGGTGACATGGAGGAGATGAGACCTTATGGACAGTCATGGAGTCAGGCTAAAGAGGACTGAAGAGAATAGGACAAAGTGGAGATGTGATGCAGAAGCCCTACATTCCACTCGGATGGCAAGAAATGAGGAAAAATCATGTGATAATAATGTAATTTTGCAAGCCAACCAGTGATATCAGGTGTATGTCGGCAGGGGATCGAACCCCGGACCATGTACATGGTCAACGAGAATCCTAACCACTGTGCCACCGACGCGTATAAACAATTAACATTTCTAAGAATTGAACATAAATTATTTTTCAAAGCAAAAATTGAAAAAAAATCAACATTTTTCAAGAGTTGGTCTGTAGGGATTTGATTTGTTTCACCACCAATTGATATCAGTTAGGGAACCATTGAAAACCAGGGCCTACTTGTACACTGTTTTGTCTTTGTCTGTGACTCATCGGGAATACGCAACCGCCGGCTCTCGAACCCAGGACCTTCCGGCCACAAGACGAGAGGCTGAATGGTCTACGAGTTTGCCTTGTACCTGGAAGGTTCTGTGTTCGACAGCTAGTGGGTGAGTACTCCTGATGAGTCACAAGATAAGACGAAACAGCTGTCCAGTACTCATTGTTTTCAATGGTTCCCTAACTGATATCAATCCGTGGTCAAAATTAAAAGGATCGACAGTTTTGTTAACGTAGAGTAGCATATGAAAAAGCAAAACAATCTCTTACATCAAAGTTGATACCAGGTATAGGAGTTAAACTACGTAAAAATACATAGATTGCAGTTGGTACAGAGTTGATAGCTTCCAAATTATTACCTATGAAATAAAAACAGAAATGAAACATAAAAATAAGTTTCATTTAAAAGATTATTTAATTTAATGACTGATGGAGTTTAATTAATTCTGAAAACTGACAAAACAAATGTCATTCTGATTAGAAGCAATAATTTATGATGAGGATATAAAACATTGGTGAAAAAACGTCAGAAAGATACAATCACTAGACCGAACCGTAAAGTGCTCATTATCTTGAATAAAACAAGAAGTTTAGTCGCTATTTGACTTCAAGTTTTCTCTTTTCCTTCACGTTCCCAGTGGAACATAGGGCTCCAAGCTAGAGGCTTGAAGTTTCTGTAGCAGTGGTGTTTATTTTTACAGGATAGGGTTGCTAGCCTCATGCCAAACCTTTCCTCTTTACCAGCATTATTTCTGGCTTAGCGAGGTAAAGGAATGCGTCGGCTGGGGATCGAACCCCGGACTATGTGCATGGTTGACGAGCGTCCTAACCGCTGTGCCACCAACACCGACTTCAAGTTGGAGAACCATTAAAAAACCACAGAGTCCCCTGGCCAACTATTTCGACCTTGTTTGAGGCGTGTAGAAGTGAACCAACAAAAAAAAACAGACGAAACAGCTATCTACTACTCTATAGGTCTTAAATGGTCTCCTCAACTGAAATCAGTTATTGATCAAACTTCAAATGAATCAATTCTCTCCAAACCAACACTTGAAAACAAGCAGTGGCTTCCACTGGCACTGCAACTGGCATTACAATGCCTTTATAACTGATACCATAAAAAATTAAAGGGCATTACTTTGGAGGCATATATGCATATAGCTTTTGTCTGTATGTTAATGATTCCTAGAACTATAAATAGAAAATTGCAGAGATATCATAGATATTTCCTTAATACACGGATTCAAACAACCCCTTCTGCTTGAATATTGAAAGAAATATCACTGTTTTGCATAATTCATAGGATTTTGTTTAATTTTGTGTAACGGGAAACTGTGTAACTCAATGGTAGCTAAGTATTTCACATTAAGGTAAAATGAAATAGCATCCAAACGTGCAGCAAAGAAAACGAGACATCCAACTGTTGAAAAGAAGAAAGTGTTTATTTCTCTCATGTTCAAAGAAGAAGCAGCACCACGAAAGATTGACAGGAGAATGAAAGGAACAATAAAAATTGGCTTCACTGCAGCTAAGCTGGTAACACTATGCAGTATCACATGCTCTATAAGCCACTCTAAACTGGATAAATACCCTGCTAATGTCACCTCCAATTGCCTATGCAAATTTACGTGCACTTACGCGAGCAAGTACATTGAAAGAAGAAAAAAAAAAGAAGAGCTTCTATCCAGCTTTCTGAGCATATCACAAGAAATGTATGCCTAAAAAGGAAGCAGATATTCGCAAAGTGCAATTACCAGACACCTTGTGGATACGAGTCATTTCTTCGGGATTTCCAAAACCTTCAAAATATTAAACATACAAAGGACAGAAAACTTACTACGATTTGCTGAAGCAATTACAATCAAGCGTTTCAAAACAAACTTATGCATACAGATAGAGAGTGTAGTCAATCTCTCACTCCTTTGGTAGCTGCATTACTTTGATTACACTGATTAGTCATCCATATTAGTGATTTCAGCTCACTGAGCAAGTTTTCCATCTTATGTGTTACTATGTGAACTTACAAGTTAACACTGTCTACTGGATTTTTCGGTTTTCTGTCTTCTCCACCCCCACCTACTTTTCTATTTTGAAAGCATATAAACTGATAGTAACTTAAAGTTAAAATTGTAACGCCTATATTTCGAATCCGTTAACTTTATAATTTGTGTTTTCTCAAACCCTGAAGTATGTCATTGGCATTATTTATAACCATTGTAATTTCAGATAGTTCGCAGTTAGCTGATGAGAACCTGTGAAATAGAATGTGATGGTATCATTTTATACTGCAAATTCGGTCTTTCTTTCTTTCTTCATCAGAAAGTAGCATACAGCTATACTACTCTATTACAGTGAGGAAATTACACTGTTATGTAATGACAATATTGTTGTCATACAAGAAAGACGTTGTAACATCTTGCAATTTTTGCACAATAACACTGGGTTATCTGAATGTGCGTCGGTGGCACAGCGGTTAGGACTCTCGCCGACCATGCAAATGGTCCGGGGTTCGATCGCCTGCCAACGCACACCCGATATCATTAGTCGGCCTGCAAAATTTGGGCTACCGATATCACATGCTGAAAATTCCAGGCACCAGGATAAGTGAATGATACCTGGACAGTTAAACAAGAAACGGGTGCATTCTATATAATATATATATATATGCTTGCTTACCTAAACGACCAACAACATCATTGATTGAAGGCTCTGTTCCAGCTGAAAGCAAATACTTTACATGTTCGAATCTTTCTCTGTATGCCTCAAACGCTTGTCTCCACATAGGAATTTTGAAGTTAACAAACGAGTATTCAGTCCTCTCAAGTCTTTGTAATAAATAGTCAACAAATTTAAACGGATCCAATTTAATACGATCACAGGCTAGAAAGAAAATCTTTCGAACTGCATAGGCTTGTATAAGTGCACCACAGACAGCCAAAGGGTGAGTATGCGTTAGACGAGTAACATCAACAATAAATCTCTAAAAAATATAGTGTAAAATAAAATAGAGTAGAGGACTATTCAATGAATACTTTTTCAACTTCAGAGAAGATAAAATTGTTAATATTAGTGGGTAGTTGGCCTATTGCAGCTGGAGACAATACATTTGCCTTATCTGAATGGAATAAACTTCTGTCTGTATTCATTCAGGGAATTACTGCGACATGTACTTATACGCACAACTTTACTCTATAAAAGGTATTTTTGTGAAGTTGATATAAGAGTAAAACTTGTGCACTGTGGTAGAGTATAATTCCATTAAGGATAAAATTTATTTTAATAAATTCTCACAGTGTTATACAGTAATACTTACTGATAACGTTTCGAGCACAATTTATTACTCATAATCCTATCACGGTTATATCATATCACCTTGATATGATCCCGACCGATAGCTGCTACCCTGACGTGGTGATCAGGCTTGCATATCGCAATGACCCAGCAAGATACACTGACTGGAACCAATGTTCCTACAGGTCCTACCATGCCACGAAGCTTGTTAGGATAGTGATTAGTCTTAAAGCAGTTAGCGGCATAGTGTAAGAATTCTTTTTACACTATGCTGGTGATCTGTGGACGAAGTCGTACTACTGGGGAACAGGGATGTAACGGCGGTGAGGTGTTTCCCTCAGATGACCAGCAGGCCAGCCAACCATGCTGTCTCTCCGTTCCGGAGAGAGGGGGTCAGAAAAGGTCGACCCCGACAATTGTGCATCCCGACTTAACCTACGGTGGTCCGTAACCGGCGGTAGGTTTAGTAATATGGAGCCAAACCAAGAAACGAGTTTATACAGGCCGTGTGTGACCGGCCTCAAGCAGTTGTCCTCTGGGCTCTGTGGTCACGCAACACTAACCCTCTTTGTGTTTCAGGTACCCAAAGAATCAACCAACTTCCACGGTGTGGGCAGCTGGGAAGTAACAGCCGCCCACACACCTCGAAGAGCACACGAAGCACCCCCTCCCAAGCATCATTCTCTTTGATATGATGATTATGAGCAATAAATTGTGCTCAAAATGTCATCAGTAAATATTACTGTATAACACTGTAAGACTTCATCAAAATAAATTTTTTACCCATAATATAATTATTTTTGTTAGGACCGACTGAAATACTGCTAGTTTATTTCTGGGGCAATAAGTGATGTTAAAGTGAAAGAGATGCCCAAAACCTTATTTTCATTGGCTAATTTCACTTATAATTTTTTTCTTTACAAACAGTTAAGAATTTCGAATAAATATGCATTATTTGAACCATAAAATAATATTCTTCCCACACAGTTTTTGAATCTGCTGGTAATTGTAAATTATTATTTTTATTTTTCCATTGCTTTGCGTTCCGAATGGGAAATAGGGCTTCAAGCTTGCACCATGAAGTTTCAGTAGCGATGGCTTTTTCCATGGAGTGGAGTCGTTAGCCTCATGCCCGATCTTCCCTTTTTATCGGGTTTACTACCAGCTTAGAGAGGTTCAAGAGTGCGTTGGCCAGGGATCGAACCCCGGACCACGTGTGGCATGATTGACGAATACTCCTACCACGGAACCACTAATTGTAAATTATAATTTGGCAGTAATTGGGAATTTGTACAGCCACAACTATGTAAGGCCACATTCTAGTTAGTCAACTCGACTAGCGACAGAGCATAACTAAGCAGCAGTACAACTCGTTATTATTTGTCAGAGACATGTTATCTGTAAGCAGAAGATATTAAAAAGACTACAAATTTAGATAATAGGCGTTTTGTCTCACTGCTCACATATGCGGTAGAACCACAAAGTACCTAAATTTCAGGTTAAGCACATAGTTTTAAGTAAGGCCAGTTAGATGATTAGCAGCTGATATGGCTAGGAAATATGTTATCCATTACAAGTCACCACTCCTTTCAAGGAACAGTTGACATGCCAAATTGGGTTGAATGGTTAAATCGAGGGAAGGCACTAACTCATATTGCTTAACTGTTGGTCTAAACTAAGTATGTAGGCATAGACTATCCAGCTAGGGTCTTTAAGGATCCCAAACACCAATGATTAGGGACTGATGGTAATATTTCTCAAAACCATTCACAATGGCATAAAATTATTCACTTAAACACTTCCGAAATTTGGAATACCATTAACCTTCATTCAGGTATTTTCCTACTTTTACGTTTATGTTTGCAGAGTGTAACGTCATGTAACATTAATTTTCTTTTTTTAGTAAACTCATGTAAAAAGGAATGTAATAATTCTCAATAATTCACTTTTGTGCGAAAGCTCCGTTTACGCTGATTCAAACAGTTAATTTTATCACGGATAATCAAAATGCAATGATTCCTCATATTCATTTGGTAAGCAGGAAAAACAACCCATGAGATTCTTGTAGAACACCAAAAAACGCCCAGATGTATTTTTTAGAATTTCGACGTCATGAAGTGCTCTACAACATTGCTGATATTTGTAGTCTAAGCATTTCCATTTACACAGACTATCTAACCCACTATATATCATTCTGAAGAAACGAGTGAAGTAAGCTGAATTCCAATAACTGTGTTATACTGAAATTGAAAAATGAGCCTCAATTCTCTGTGATTTTTTTTGAAAAAAAATCAGATACACTGTGCATGGATTTGTTTTCAGCAAGCTCATTTTCGATAACTCAACTGTCTGTAAAATAAACCAACAAATTGGATAGGTCCCGCACACTTCCTCGTTGCATGAATTTCAAAGTCATGCAAACGTTCCCTCCCCCAACAACTGTTATTTACAAACTTTAGTAGTGTTTCTCAGTTGTGTCATTCAAACTACCTAAAATAAAATTAAATTGTAAGTATTTAATTGGTGGATGGTGACTAGCAGTGGAATCCAGGAAGTGCATTTCGTCCTATTTGGGACTAGTCATCTGGATGTACCTGCATTTCTATGGCAATGTTTGACCATGAAGGGAGTGCCAAGAAAGTACATTGCACTAATCAAGGCACTCTACTCAAACTCACGTAGCTGTGTAAGGGCTTATGGGGAATTGTCATCTGAATTGCTAACAACTAGTGGTGTCCGTCAGGGATGTCCACTTTCCCCTTTTCTGTTTAACTTCATCATAGATATGCTAATGGAAGTATCCTTAACTGAACTTAATGACTTAGGAATCGACTTGTTACCAGGGAATAGTCTTATAGACTTAGAATACGCAGACGACATAGTCCTGTTAGGGGAGGACGCTGACAAAATGCAGAGTCTTCTGAACACCTTCAGCAGCAATCTTCGTATGTTTGGCATGCGATTCGCCCCTGTGAAATGCACGATGCTGCTACAGGACTGGACTACGTCAACTCCTAGCTTAGTGATAGGGAGTGAAGTGATAGAACATGTTGACCACTTCACCTATTTGGGAAGTTGTATCAGCACCAACGGATTGATTGGTGACGAAATCTCAGCACGGATCCAGAAAGCTCGGGCTGCTTTCGCTAACTTACACCGTCTCTGGCGTAGGCGTGACATCCGGCTGTCAACCAAGGGACGTGTATACTGCTCATCAGTTCGCTCCGTCCTTCTCTATGGCGGTGAGACGTGGCCATTGAGAGCGGAAGACATGAAGAGATTGTCTGTTTTTGACCACAGATCTTTACGATCTCTTTCTCGCGTTAGGTGGTATAATAAGGGAAGTAATGTTGACGTTAGGCGTAGAGTGTTGGGCAAAGAGGGAAAATCACTCGAAGAGGCTATGAAGTTACATAGATTGAGATGGTTAGGCCACGTGGTGCGCATGCCTAGCCATCGTCTCCCCCGACGGGCATTACTAGCTGATATAGGTCCAGGTTGGAAAAGAGTAAGTGGTGGCCAAACAAAAACATGGCCTCATCAATCCATGAAATCCCTGACAGTTAAACTGAGTCAGGTAGGGAGATGCAGACTTCCGGGTTGGGGCCCTCGGGACTCTAAGAATCAATGGTTGGAGACAACAGGTGACATGGCTCAAAGTCGTTGTCAGTGGCGCAGATGTATTCAGTCTCTTTAACCTTCATATTCCTTTCTACCATTACTCATTGTGTTACACTCTTATACTTATCTAAATTCTATTGATTCTCTTCTCTCCTTTTCCTGTCTACCTTTGTGTGCTATTTGGAACGTGGCAACTCGAACTGCTGCACTTCGGTGCCAAGTTCTATGTTGAATCCACCAGCAGCAGCATTTCCCAGTGAGTGATGATGTTCCCACCGAGGCTCGAACCCAGTGCCCATAGTTTCAAACGCCGAAGCGTTATCCACAAGACCACTTGGGCCACAAGAGCCACCTCTCGTCCAACGGGACATGTTAGTTTAATTGAATTGGACCGAAGTGCTCGGTCTCAGGTTGACATGTCGGCTTCTTGTGCAGATGCTTCGACGATGTCTGGGCATTTAATCTAAAATTAAATTAAATTATAAGTCTCTGAAAAAAGTCGTGGCTGCTTAAATTAAAGAAAGAATTATGATTGACTGCATTTGTGCAACTTTCGATGATGAATTACAATGCCTGGCAAACAAAATATCTACAGCTCATAAAATATAGTAAAAACAGTAACCAAAATCTGACTTACTTCAAGATCGTATTCGGAAAACCTCAAGGCATAAAGTGCTGCAGGTGCAGCTCTCATAGCCCCGCCATTACCGTATGATCCTGTCCCGTCAAACAGTTCTGCAGCATACTTATAAGGGTCCTTGTAGTTGGCTTTCTTCATTGAAGTAAAAATACGTCCTATAGTTCCGCCATAGTATCTATGCGCTCCATCTTCAAAATAATCCGTTGCAAACCTTGAAAATATGGAAGTTGTAGTAATTTTAAGCATTTCACAAATAGTACAGCAGAAAATAAGTCACAAAGGATTAGTCTAAATTATTGTAGTAATAAATCGGTTAGTAAATCCCAATCATATAGCATAAGCTATGTGAATTGCGTCGTAAGATACATTCACTTTGGCTACTTAGTCAGTTCAGCACATAATGCAGTATGAGATGAGGAGGCACAGGAAAATCACTCAAGGGTAAGAGCAAACATGCACACAAAGTAAAAAAAACCACTACTTATTTCTACAACATGTACATGGGAAGCAACAGGCTGTAGCGGAATTTCGCAGTAACACTGGGTTAAACAGCTTGATACGTTTACATAACTTAAGGAAATTAACACATGTCACTAGCACTGTTGTGACCTCCGAGCTGCATGGTTTAATTCCAAAGCGCCTACTTCAGTGCAAAGTCAGCTTCCTGAATTCTTCATGAATGATATTAATGTCTCTTCTTATGGCCTTAACTGTGATCAATTGTCTTCAGAGGTCATATCCTTGTGTTGACTAGCGTTGATATTGATAGTCTCCTTAACCTATCTGCTATATAACTTCTTCCCTATCGATCGATAAATTTGATGTATGTTTGAACATGTCTATTGAATCAGATTGACGCGAATATTAGGTTTATAGGAATTCTCTGGCATTCTTATTACTTCGTTTGAGTGAAAGTATCACATTTTCCTAATCAAACTGGTACCTGTCGTCGTCCACATTCATTAATATGAAGGAATATATCAAGTCTTTTAACCACTGGTTCATGTGTGTGCTTGAATCCGAAGGCAAGAGTGACCTCCACTTTGGACAACACCATATTTTTCATAGTTGATACAACTAATCTTTTAGATGGTGCCGCATCTGTCTTCCTTAGCTGTTGGCTCATTTTGATCCACATAGTATTGAATGAAGGGATTGTGTTCGACTGCAGGCGATATAGATTTCAAGAAGTTTCAGCCCATTAGCAGTGATTACAGAGATGGTCTTCATTTATGGCTGTTCAAAAGACATGACATACATTCCTTCATATCAATGAATTTGGACGACTACAGATACTAATTCGACTCAGAAAATGTAGTACTTTTACTCAGAGAAAGTATTCAGTGTGCTGGAGAATTCCTAGAAGCCTGACATTCGGGTCAATCTGAGCTCAACAGGCATGTTGACATAAATCAGACTTATCAGTCGGTAGAGAAGTCATATGGCAGATAGGTTAAGAAAACTATCGATACCACTAAAAGTGAACACAAGGGATGAGGAAACCTCTGAAGACAAGCGATCACAGTGAACATCACCAGGGTGGGATAGTTACGTCATACATAGAGCTGATTTCCAGAAGCATAATGAAAGCTTAGCAATCAAACCATCCAGCTCAAACATTCGCCGGAGCAACAAGAATGTATCCATCATTTTAAAATCCTGCGAGAGTTACAGGAGTCCCTGTAATATGGAACAATATACTTATAGAAAAAATTGGCCATATTCTAAATAACCCCTTTACTTTGTCAAGGTCTTAACAACTTCCAAATATTCCAGAGGAAATGGTTGCAAATGAGATCTTGTGAAAAATCCTAAGAAGTTACATGTCAAAACGGATATATATGCATTATTTAGAAAAAAAACTTTTAATTAAACATGCTTGAATACTAACAGCTAATGAAAACTAAGAAACTCTTCCTCGAGACAGAGAAAAAAGCGCAGATATGGGGAACCGGCTTTTCCACTGCTGACAGTGTTGTCACTTGTCACAAGTTTGAAGATAAACTTGTCAAACTACAAACCATTATGAAAGTATTTATGGCAAGCTAGTTTATCAAACATTTTCTGCTTCAGCCTCCAAAAAGTGAGGGTGAGTCATCAATGAGAAAAATGGATTCCAAAAACTCGAGTGTCATTTTAGCACACCAAAACCTATGAAAACTAAAAGCTATTGAGACTTACTCTCTCGCCAAATGTTCAGGATTATAACCATTCTGAGATCTAACGGAGCGTAGGATTGCAAGACCCATTTGAGTATCATCAGTGTATATTAACATCTTGTTATCAGCTAAGAATGTAAATTATAAATACAAAATCTCTACATACCACCGCTAAGAGTCTTGTGAAACAATTGAGAAGCAATGTCAAATGTTGTTGTTGGTTTGTCTTCAAAAACATAGCCATAACAATCGCCTATTAAACCACCAAGCAGAACGCCACGACTGAAAGATAGATTTGTCAAAGCCATGTCCAATTAACAGTTAAATTATAAGAATCTGGTAGGTATGTAACCCTTGTTGAAAAGTTTTTGTTGTTTTATACTATTCCAGTGAATTTGAAACCCCGTCTTACTTTTCTGTCTTTAAGTTAAGAAAACGACTGTGTAAACGAAGTTTTGGTGATGTTTGTTAGTTAAATATCTTCCCTGATACCCAGTATGTAGAGGTACCTAAAGGTAAGAAAATTACTACAGTTTTAATGAACAATTATAAAAAATAATCCGATTATGTAGGGAAAACAAAGAAGTAATAAGTGGAAGATTGACAAGAGTATTAACTGAATACATTTTCTGGGAAGAATTTGAGGACGAACAAATAACTAGCAAAGCAGACTATGTAATCTGTCAGTAAATGTTAAGTAATACGCTACCATAACTTTCTCTTCATAAACTTTACTGGAAATCTGTGCATTTCACTTGATGAAGTTACTCATGAACCATGTAATATTGTACAGAATCTAAGCATGATCTGACCCTTCAGTGTACTGATCTAAGGACGCTGTTACGCAAAAGTCAGCTGTGAGTTGGTAGTAGCATTTCTACTGATTGCTCAACTGGTATTTGATCCACACAATTAACAGAATATCCTAAGTACACTAAATTTCATTACCATCCATAAATTTTCCAAACAGAGCCGAGTCTTGATGAGTATTGTATTCAACCATGAAAAAAGTTACACAATCAGCATTATAGCCAGACGTACTTGATTTACGCAGAAAATGAATGACTGCAGATTTAACAACAAAACCTAATGCTGGGATGAAATATTCACCGTAGACCAACGAAATCCTTGAGCATAAGAAATATGCATTCTGCATAAGGAATGGTTCAGAATGTTCCTGCTTTCATTGGGTCACGGACAGCATATCATTATTTAACAGCAAATTCAGGCTTAAAAAGGTTAGATGACACAATTTTTACTGGAATCACAAAAGTTACGTTTATAATCTTATAAATATTTTGGATTACGTCTTAAGAGAGTTACGTAGAGGCACTGTACCTTTACTTAAAATGTGACCGGACGTGCGATAGTTCACGTAATGGTCACATATAGTCCACATTACCCTTCTCTTAAATATTACACGTAACAATATTTCACTTGATCAGTTTTTAATTACAGTGTGGAGAGGTCTAGATACTGACTTCAAATTCAATATATCTCTTCATGTCCTCAACAAACATGTCATGAATTTTCCTTACCAGGTCAGGGACAAAACCTGCCTAAGTTCATTGCTTTTAGTAGGAATTTAACTTGCTGAGAAAGTTCATAGGTTTGGCCATTAGTGCCAGCTTATGACACTGGTTTAAGAATTATAACAATTTTGGAAATACTTTGCATAAACGAAAGGATTCTCAACTTTTTCAAAGATACACAATTTATCCAGAAGTACGTCAGAAAGAGACTACACTTTCTCGTTAGGATCAGTGCGACAAAATTAGGAATACCAGTATACCAGAAAACTGAGATCCCATTTAACAATAACAATTCAAAAGCACTCAGTGAACTAACGATAGTACATATACATGTCCTTGGCGAATAATCTGCGGCCAGATAGATTCTGGATAGTATATTGCTATTCTCACATGGTGTCCTGTAAAAAGTGTCTGAAACATGATATATGCTTTCGGCGTACTAATACGTTTCAGACATATTGTGGTGAGTGGGATATTTTAACTCTATTTCAAGTGAGGAGTGAGATGACTATCCATCCATATTTATTTATTCAGATAAAAATCCGTTAAACCGGCTCAAGTCGAACTCACCTCGCTTTCAGTTTGGTTGTCCTTGAGAAGCAAATTTAGAGCGCTCAGTTTGAATTCTGTGTTTTATTTCCAATATCCAATATCCTGATTACGAGCTAGTGATTTATTTGAGCTCGCTTCTTGATTGTAAGGTAGAGGTTCCAGATCTTCGGTGAACTTATGCGTAGTAAATCCCGCCACCCGACTGCTTTAGCTCTAGTAGACTCCAAGAGGAGTGGTGCGATGTGTGGTTTGTAGTATGCAGTATGTTAGGACCCAGTTGCTGCCGTGAATGGAGTTTGACCTAACACCCGTTGGCCATTCGGTGTAGTCATAAAAGTAGAATAGTAATAATAATAGGCTGTAGTGTAGATAATATAGGTTGAGATTAGTGAAATAATAAAGGTGACCAAAGAAAAGAATAGAGTAGTCGGTACAGAGAGAGAAGACAGAACGGGTCATGGGGATTTAGCTTGTATGCTTATCCACTGAAAGTGTGGTTTCAAATTTTAAGAGGATAAGCCATTGAGACACAAACCATGCATTTCTGCATGATTGTCCAGCTTCCGCTTAAAAGTCTCCACAGATGGCGATGTAGTCACGGCCGCCGGTAAAGCGTTCCAGAGACGGCAAACTCGAAGCGAAAAGAAATGTGAACGCACTCGAGTCTTTGGTCTCTGGTGTTCCATCCTTAGTGGGTTACCTCGTGGAAGCCTATAATCACTTAATGACAGGATGCTTTTATTTGGGTGGGCCTGGTCATTTAAGATCTTATAGACTGTGATGAGGTCTCCCCTGTGACTACGGTAACCAAGTGTGAAAAGACTTAATTTCTTCAGTCTTTCCTCATATGATTTGTTGTGGAGGCCGACCACCCATTTTGTCGCTCGTCTCTGGACACTTTCTAGCATGTTAGCATCCCTTTTGAGTAGCGGAGGAGCAATGATATTATGCACCTCAAGGAGTGGCCTCACGTGTGTCGTATACAACGTTAGGAATAGTTCAGGAGTAAGAGCTCCCAGCTGCCTATGCATAAAGTGTAAAGTTGCGTAAGCTTTATCGACGTCCCTCGTGTAATTTACACTGGTGTCTAGCTTTTCTGTTAAAATAGGACCTAGGTCGCGTTCTGATGGCACACAAGTCAAGTTCTGGCTGTAATTTGCACTCTGTGACCTGCCGGAATGAAGTTGCACTACTTTGCACTTCTTTAGGTTGAAAGGCATTGTGTTAGCCAGAGCCCAGTCTCCCAGAGTTTGCAGGTCAGCCTGCAATCTGTCGGAGTCTTCCAATGAGTTTATTGCTCTCCAAATCTTTACGTCGTCAGCGTAAAGAAGCGCAGAGCAGTTCAGTTGACAGGGCAGGTCGTTGATAAAAATCAAAAACATCAACGGCCCTAAGATAGAACCCTGAGGAACCGCTGATGCCGAAGTGTGCCAGGATGATCGGATGCGGTTGACTCTGGTACAGGATTCTCTCTCGCCTAAGTAATCTTTCAGCCATGCGAGAAGTGCTCCGGAAACACCCGCCTTGCTTATTTTGTGAAGGAGCAGACCATGGTGAACTGTGTCGAATGCTTTCGCAAAGTCGAGAAAGATCACATGGACTGGTACCTTTACGTCCCAGGATAGTGTCCAATCGTTCCAAGTTAGTAGAAGATTCGTCACACAGGATCTTCCCCTCCTGAAACCGTGCTGTGCTTCATGGAGTAGGTTAGTCCCGTCGAAGTATTTTCTCATGTGGTCGTCAATGAGACTTTCCAATATCTTCGACATCACAGGGAGTAGTGCAACTGGTCTGTAACTGGTCGCGTTCTGCCGGTCACCACCCTTGAAGATAGGGGATAGGATGGCTCGTTTCCATTCACATGGAAGTTTCCCTACATCAAAGGAGTGTTGAAACAGATCACTTAGGGGCTGGCAGAGACTTTCTGAACACTGCTTCAGGACGGATGGTCTTATGTCATCGCAACCTGCAGACTTTCCCGAAGCCAACTTTCCCAATTTTACGAGTACCATAGCCGGGGTAATTTGAAATGTACCCAGCAGGTTTTCGTACGTTGGTTTTGCGTTGTAATCTTGATGTTTTGTGGGGGTAAAATCCTCATTACTGTTCAGTTGCCTGTGAAAGGCTAGACTGAATGTCTCTGCCATTTCAAGACTAGTAAGAGATTTCCCATCAGAACCCACTAGATTGCAAGCTCCCTGGTTGGTCGGTTTTCTTTCAGACGTAAACCTGTATAGGCTTTTGGGGTTCACGAGAAGCTTATTGGCGAGGTTTCTCTGAAATGTCCTTCTGTCACTCCGGGCTCGTATGTTAAATCGATTCCTGAGTTCGAGGTACACTTCATGTTCGGGTTGACTCTTCGATACTCGCCACGCAAACCAGGCTTTTCGCTTCGCCTGTAGAAGGCATTGTGTCCCCCTTTGCTTCCTAGCTTTTGGTGTGACTAAAGGAACAGTGTCTGAGACCGCCCGGTGAATGATCTCCTTTACCACTCCCCAGTGTTCTTATACTGTAAGCTCTGTCCAATTTTTTGGCCAATTTGCTTCAGACAAAAGTCTTCGCATTTCGGTGTAATTGGCTTTGTTATGACACAGATAGGGCTGTCCCACTGCAAACGCTCGCGGAGGACTATGTCGAATGTTATGACCGCATGGTCACTACTACCTATGGGAGTCGTTATCTGAACGTTTTCCACTAGTAGCTGGGCACTAGTGAGCACATAATCCAGTCTAGAAGACTCCCCATCTGGGCCCCATCTAGTATCCATTCTGACATTTTCAGTGAATCCAGCCTCCCTGACGGTATGCAGCAGATTTCGATCAAATGAATCATGGGCATATCCCGTCATCAAGTTAAGAGATGGGGGATTGAAGTCGCCAGCTATGACAATCTGATCATAACCCATGTCTTGTGTCGCTGAAATTGTATTCAGCAGCACCTGGTTGGGGTCTGCTCCACATGAAGGTGATCTGTAAATGCTGCCCACTAGATATTTACAGTACCCAACGGTGAAATGGCACCATATGGAGTCAGTGAGCCCAATGAGGGGAATGTCGATTGCATGGACACATCTAAGCTGTTTGCCGACGTATATGGCGACTCCACCTCCTTCTTTCAGGTCTCTGTCTCGCCTGACTAGGACCATATCATTTAAACTGACTTCGCTGTCTGCCACCGTAGGGGTTAGCCAGGTTTCCGTCAGTATTATGATTTTGGAGTTCGGCTGTGATTGTAGGTGTCTAAGTTCAGCTATTTTGCCTCTTATCCCTCTCACATACTGTACAGGCAACTGGTAGTTAGTCTCACCACGTCCCCTTACTGGGGGGTGGTTGACGTGATGTGGGCTGTCGGTTGAGGAGTTATCCTACGAACTAGCTGGCCGATTCCCCGGGAACCGGCCCGTTGGCGTTTTTTCT